GATATGTTATTGTTTGGCCAGCCATATCTATATTATATTGCATTTACCCCTACGTCAGGGATCAGCTAACATGACACCATTTGGCTGGATGCTCCAGCACACTGGTAAAATCCAATTAAATTCCTTTGTCTAATCTACATGAATGTGTAATGACTTTTAGAAGAGGGTAACAAAACATACAAAGCAATGAACACTGCCTGCAAAATGATACATAAACACAATTGCTTTCAGTCCTGTACATTTCCAGTGAGATCCAGCTATATACAGCAGGAAAGAAACCAGCATGATTCTCATGCTCTTGGTAGCTAAACTCCTCAGCATGGCACCTAAAAGAGCCACCAAAGCATGAGAGTTGCTTCTATGCCCCATAAATCAGAAGACTTTCCTGATTTCTAATTTGTGGGCTAGATATTTAGACTCATAATATTTGCATCTTACTGCTTGATAATCTGGTATAATTACATGAAATAGATTGCTTGGTGGCCAAGTTTGCCTTTCAAGGAAGATTTAAAATATAACACAATATACGTAATTACTCATGCTGTGGAGGCCATGGCACTTAAAATATGGCACAGTTATATCTGAAGAGTTTTAAGGAATTCCACACCCAGAGGTTTGAGTATGTCACCTACTCTATCATCTTGATGTTTTACATTGTTGTCATAAAATTGTGCAAGGTGCCAATGAGCCTTACAGCTCTATCATAAATCAGACTTTGTATATGCAGACTTTACTCATACAGATAATGTGAAAGAAAAAATGTGTTTTCTTTGGAACAGGATATAAAAAACACAAAGAACTTGAAATTCTCTTGAAAGTTGTAAACGTAGGCTTGACAATCACTGGGCTTGTCCAATTTGAAGCCAGAGCATAGGACTGAATGACCTCACTCATCGTTCTATAGTTCTGGGAAACACAAAGTCCAGCAACTGAGACTCCCAGTAAAAAGTATATCCTCCCATAAATGTCCATGGGCCAGACTGAAAATACCCTGGGTTTTCCTACAAGATGAAAATATAAACCTTTAATAGTTCCGCATACTCTGTGGCCTGTGCTATCTGCTTTCCCTTCTCTAAGGTTCACCTTAGTCATCCTGTTAGTCAAAGCTCCTTTTCCAGGCCACCTCCGGAGACTCTAACCTGCTGCCAGCTGGCAACACCTTGGGTCAAGGGTGCGCTTCTGTGGTATATTAGTGGGGGTGATAGAGTGGGATCATGAGTTCAGTATGATCAGCTATGACATAGCAGACATTCTGTGGCTTGGCCTTTCTGGTACAATATTTGGGGGAAATATTGCTCAGTAGTGAGCAACGTATTATCAAGTTTCCAGCTGGAGTTAATATGAACCACAGTAAGCCAAGTCAGCATACTTCTATAACTACTTCAAAGACAAGTGGTCTAAAGTAGAACTGGGGAAAGCAGACTCCATGGATTATTCTGGATTGGCTAATTGTATGGTACACAAGGAAGTGTACAGTAACTTACAGTCCTGCACAGATAGGGCAAGAACAGAGTTAAATGTACCTGGCAGAGAGCTGATAGACCTCGTGACAAGGGAAGGTTAAGAAAAATTAAGATATCAGTAAGGCAAAGCAGTTGGCTCACTAGAAAGAAGGCAGAGGAGGAAATTGAACTTAAAGAACTAGGAAAGATCTTGAGCAGTGGTTCTCAAAGTATGGTTCCTGAAGAGCAGTATCAACATCAATTGGGAATTTGTTGGAAATGTAAAGTCTCAGAACCTACCAAATCAGAATTCTGGGGATGGGTCCCAAGCAATCCGTGTTTTAACAAGCCCCACAGGTGATTCTGATGTATGATAGAGTTTGGGATAAACTAAGCAATCATTCCACCAGCCAAAGGAAAAGGGTGCCAGGAGTATCTGCCTGAGGGTGGGCGTGGGAGGCCTGCTGCCTAGGAGGACAAAGGGCCAAGTTAAAGTAAAGAGGTGAGGACACATGGGAGTTTTTAGCCATTTACAACAGGGGATCTTAGCTCACCACTAAAGAAAGCTAGGCTTGGGGATGAATAGAAAATAGCTCAGCGGTAGTTTTCGCAAAGCCAGCAAGAATAACACAGCTCAAGAAAACAGCACACTAGGAGGTTAGATCAGTGAAACAGCCAAGAGAGAAACACTAAGTGAACGAAGGACATCTAGAGGATGGAGAAAACAAACATATGCAAATAAGATACAATCCAACTTTCAAATATAATGTATTGACACGAGTTCTTTTACTTGGAGCAAGAACAAAGTGGTGGCACTGGGAGTTGGTTGCTGGTTTTCCAGAGGTTACAATCACAGCTATTAGGGTCCATTTAGAGGACAAAGAACATTTCTGATGGTAGAGGTAGGAACTGAGATGAACACATAAAATGTGCAGTTATTGTTTAAGCAAGGAGTCACAGTCAAAGTGAATTCCGGTTCTAATAAAGGAAAGTTAGGACAACCCCCCAAATGCCTATGTAACATTCTTAAATAGGCCCTATATTTTAATGATATTTCTTTGTTTAATGTGGAGAAAGAAAAAATAGAAAGTGTTTTGTAATTTAGTCAGTGTTACACAAGATAATAGACTTTATTTCCATGGATTTCTGAACTCAGATGCTTTTTAAAAAATCTCTACTTTATAAAGCCCCAAACAATGAGTTTAACTATAAATTTTAAAAATATCTGTAATCAAATTTACCCCCACTATATAACATTTACTATTATACTAACCAAATTTATATAATAATTACTCTTGAAAGATAATAAATAATAGATTGTAAGATTTAATCAACTGTAAAATATAATAGATTGCAAACAATTTGTTAACAGGAAAAAAGTACTTCTCTGAAGAGCTTGAAGCTTCATAACAATTTACAGAACTCTGTTTAACTTAAGACACAAGAAAATCTGCTGTGGATAAGGCATTGCTTTATGAATCATCCATGTTTCTCAGAGAATAAGGCACACAGTCACTTGCATTATAAATCACAAATCTGTAAGAAAACCTGAAGACAGCAGATAGTACATATGCCACAAAGAAAAGCAGGTACCTTTGGGGTACTGACTTTAATATCAAAGTAACATGAAGCTGCAAATGTGAAATGCATAGCAACTAAATTTTTCTTCTCTAATAAAGGTCAATCATTTTATTTTATTTTATTTGAGACAGAGTCTCACTCTTTTGCCCGGACTAGAGTGAGTGCCGTGGCATCAGCCTAGCTCACAGCAACCTCACACTCCTGGGCTCAAGCGATCCTCCTGCCTCAGCCTCCCAAGTAGCTGGGACTACAGGCATGCGCCACCATGCCCAGCTAATTTTTTCTATATATTTTAGTTGTCCGATTAATTTCTTTCTATTTTTAGTAGAGACGGGGTCTCGCTCTTGCTCAGGCTGGTCTCGAACTCCTGAGCTCAAACGATCCGCCCTCCTCGGCCTCCCAGAGAGCTAGGATTACAGGCGTGAGCCACCGCGCCAGGCCAAGGTCAATCATTTTAAAAGAAGATCAACCTGAAAGAACAAAGGAAAAGGCAAAGTTCCTAGAACTACTTTATTTTGAAAAAATGTTTTGTCTCTCAGTATCAGGCAGATTTTTAAAAATTATTTAGGCCGGGTGCGGTGGCTCATGCCTGTAATCCTAGCACTCTGGGAGGCCGAGGCGGGTGGATCGCTCGAGATCAGGAGTTCGAGACCAGCCTGAGCAAGAGCGAGACCCCTGTCTCTACTAAAAATAGAAAGAAATGATCTGGACAACTAAAAATATATAGAGAGAAAAAATTAGCCGGGCATGGTGGCGCATGCCTGTAGTCCCAGCTACTCGGGAGGCTGAGGCAGAAGGATCGCTTGAGCCCAGGAGTGTGAGGTTGCTGTGAGCTAGGCTGACGCCACGGCACTCACTCTAGTCCGGGCAAAAGAGTGAGACTCTGTCTCAAAAAAAAAAAAAAAAAAAATTATTTAATTAGTACAGTATTTTAGAATGGTATACAAACAGACTGATAGCAACAAAAACATAATGGCACATTCAGGAATTTACTTTTGAAATGACATTACTGGTCATTACTTTTTTGTGTGTGAATTCAAATGCTATGGTTATGATTCAATCACCAATATTTTGTTAATGTTATTTTTTAACAAATATTTTGTTAAATTGAGTTATGTTTTTCAAAACAAACACATATGAAATTCTTGGTTAAGGATACTAAAAAATACTATTTCAACAAAATATTACTATAGCCAACATGTTTTAATAATTATTTCCTTGCTTTTTTCAAAAGCAGCTTAAAAAAATTATTTCCTAAATTTATTTCTGAAATAATAACCTAGATGTAATGTTAGTTGCTGTCTTTTAAGGATATTATAATGATAATATAATATCTGAAGCAGATTTTGCCAGTAATCATAACTCACAAAACACTTGGTAAATTATATTCCAGTCAAGATCAACATATATGAAATAAATACATGTTAGTGTTCACCATACATCTTATTCATGATATTATTTATTTTGGCTATCTCACTGTTTCAGTATCTCAAGAAAATGTGGACCCAAATATAATACTAACTTTCCACAAATTAGTCACCCTAAAATTTGAGCTGTTTTTTATCAGGAAATGGACTAAATTAAAGGTGTACTTCCAGAAAATGAATTGGATGTTAATCTAAAAGAACTACTAGTAAAGCCAGAAAAACAGAAGCAGCAATGTAACCTAAACATTTGTACCCTTGTAATATGCTGAAATAAAAAATAAAAATCAATAAACAGAAGAAGCAATAAAAATATATCATGGAATAAATGAAACTCTAATATTGCACTAGAGTGTCATAGAAGAGAGAATTATAACAAATATAATTTTTAAAAAATTTTTACATGCCTTCTGAAGAAGAGGATTTGGGAATTATAATATTAAATAATTAAACAATATAAATATCTATTTTTTTCAAATTCAGTTTAATGTTGGCTATCCTAAGTTAGCATCATCTAAACCATTTGCTTCTCCAAGACAGCCATATGGTAACCTCAGACGTCAATATGAATTCCATGTTTTGAAGACATCATTTGTCTGGTCCCTGTTAAATACATGACAAATGAACAGATGTGAGGTAAAGATGATGTGATTATTACATAAAGCCAGAAAGGCAAAGGAGAAGTTTTTCCAAATGGGCATATCCATAAGCCATGACGAATCCCATCTCGGATATGGTGTGAAGTCCAGGATATAAACAACATCCAGGGAAGAAAGCACCATGAGTCTTTGAGCTTGAAAAGGTGCATAGTAAATTTCAGCGTCAGAACCACGACGGGTATCACAGTAGAACAGTGAAGGAAAGGTCTTCGTGGAAGCGTCAAAGCAGCCTGAAGGGGCAAAGTAGTAGCTAGTATCATTTCCTTCTTGGTGAAACAAAATTTTATAAATGCTTTTACAGATTTTAAAATATTTTCCAGAGTCTATTGGACATACAAGGGAAACATTTTCTATACCACCTCAGAATACATATATCAAAATTATGTATAAAGCAAAGAAGATAAAAGCGTGAGGATATCCTTTGCATTAAAAATAAAATCAAGGTCTCAGGAATGTGGTAATTTTTTATAAAGTTTCCCATTATTTGCTTAGAAAAGTCAAAATATGAACATAATTTATATCCTAAATGTATGGTTTATGTAATTTAGATTTTTATAGAATTGTCTGGGGCCTCTAAGAGCATTGAAAAAAATCTTACAACCACATAAAATATGTTTTAATTAATAAAGGTTAAAAAGAGGAAATATTTTTGTCACCATTTTTTACTAGCTCTAAATACCTTCAGAATTTATTTACATTTAGAAAGATTTATTATTTTAAATAAATATTCTGAAATTGAGTTAAATAAGTTTCTAAATAAGTTTCTAAAACACTGCAAAAAAAATGTAATCTCTATCTGAACAAATAAAAATTTTAGGCTTAACCTCTAAATGATTCATGAGTAAGGTTTTTTTCCCCACCTACTTTAAAGGCTAACTTGCAGCTAGATCATCCCTGACAACAACAAAAAAGCTGAAGATAGTGATGAATGTTTAAATCTAAATCTCTCCACATATCCTCCAAACACATAAAACGAGAATGGCAAATAAAACTATACAAACCCCCAAACTCTCAGAATAACTAGAAGTCAGAGAATGTCCAAGCTTCAAATTACCTGTAAGTATTATTAATAAAATAAACACCCATCAGTGGGCTCTCTCTCTCATATTTCCACCACAAGCCAGGAAAAACTGTGTTGAAAAGAGGGGAAACCTAAGATTGATCTAAAATTACCACTAGAAAGAGAAAGTTCAATGTAAACGTGAAAATTCTGAAGAGCGTTCTGGTAGATCAGAGCACTGACTACGGGGAAAAGAATTAAAAGCATGCAAGATTCAAGGCTTTGAAAGACATTTGATTCTAGGGGAGAAGATGGTAAAAAAAGGAAGGGAGAGGCACCGTTTGGAGAGATTGGGTGGTGAAAGCGGAAAGAAGTAGAAGAGGGAAGAAAGGAAAAAATTTAGGTTCCTGTCCAAAAAAGAAGAGGACACACAATCTTCCCATCACATTAAAGAGACTGTACCTTTGTCACACTGTCAAATCAGACCATCATTAAATTAGGAATCTTAAAGATGCAATCCTCAAACTAGTATTCTTTACCTGCCTACTGAATGAACATCAGAGAGTTTATTCTATGCTCCTCCTTTCCTCTCTTCTCCACATTTTAAGTTGTTTTACTTCTACTTCATCAGAGCATGTAACATTTCTGCATTATTCCACTTTTGTCTCCTCCTTTGTTTTTAAATTCTATATCCACAATATATTAAGTTCATCATTACTCCTTTCGCTAACACTATCTTAACCAAGACTACTTTAGAACAAGGACTCATGTAATATCATGAAATAAAGTGACAAAACAAACCAAATCTATAAAAAGCCAGTATCGGAGGAAAACAGAATAAAGACACCTCAGCTCTTGAATCCTGTTCCTACAAACAAATGCAAAAAACAAAACAAAAAACTACACAAAGCATATAAAAATTGTATCCTCAGACTCCAAACTAAATTAAATATCTTCTAACAACCATATGGGAATATGAAAAAATATCTTAAATCAGAATTCAAAAATGAAAAAAATGAGGTTGAAATACCAGTTCATTAAACTCAGTATAGGAAAAAAAGACAAAAACAATCTAATAAATGACTATCCTACAACGTTTCCAAAGGTGAATAGGTCAAGTGAAAGTTTAATGAGGCATACCGAAAACATGCAGAAAACCAACCAAAAGAATGAAAATGATATGGGAAAAAAGCTGAACAGGGAGAAAATGGTTGAAATGGAAGACAGGCAAAAACAGAAATAACATATGTATAAAGAAGAAAAACAAAAGAATGAAATGGCATTGGAATTTAAAGCTACAGGCCAAGAAAATTCTGAAAACAAAAAACCTGAATCTATGTATTAAAAGAGCCCATATTAAAAAATTTACTCAATGATAAACTTCAGGACAGTTTAGTAAAACTATTACCCTAAACATAAAGGCAAAATCCTTAAGGCCTTCAAGCAAAAGGATCAAATAACTTACAAAGGCCAGAGTATCAGACTGGCATTAGACTTAAAACAAAACAAAACAAAACAAAGAAAAGCAAAG